GAAGTTTAAGGAGCGCGATGCCGCCTACACGAACGATCATCTTATACCCCGTTGTTCGGCCGTCGTCGGCCCGATCTGGTAAGGGTCGTTGACAATGGCTTCGTACTGCTCGTACGCCTCTGGGTAGGGCGCCCCTCTCGCGCTTTCCGTGAGTTTCGGTGGCAGCGCCGAAAGTCCCCGAAGCCCGGCCCTTCACGGCCAGGTCGTGGAGCTGGGCTCGTCGCCGGGGCAAGGAAGGGCGGAGGCAAGGATGGAGGTTGAGAGTTTCATGGTGGCCGGTGTGAGGGTAGGGGGGGAGGGGGGGGGGGCAACCTGGGATGGGGAGGTTGGTGAGGAGCGAGGGAGGGAGGTAGGAAAGGATGGTAATATTGGGGGGAGGCTGAGGTGATATAAACAACTTTCAGGCGCCTCCCCGCACGACGCCAACACCGCGGACCCGGGACAAGACCAACAAGTTCGTCATCCCATATTACCCATGGCGGCCCCCCCAGAGGTTGGAGTAGCAGTGATAGACGTAACGGCCTGCGCCAACCCCAGAATTGGAGTCGTCCGCGTTCAGCCGGACCAGTTAACCGGAAGGCCAAGCCCGTTGGCCCCGTCCCGGGCGAGCCAACCCCGGGTAAATCCTGATGGGACGGCTATTTGTCGTTCGCGCATCCGGTTCATCGGGTGTTCATGGCATTTTGGTGTGTGGTATGGGGCGGCCTGTACCTGCGTTGTAATTTCCCCCGCATGTGGTCCTTGGGGTGGTTGGCGGTGTTGGAGTTGGGGAAGATGAAGAGTTAACGACTGAACGACAGCGAGTTCATAGCCGCAAGTTGCCAATGCCATGGGGCGGTCAATAGGTATCTTTGCCCTATCTGACTTGATGAGTTTCTTACTGTGTGAGAAGAGATATTATTGCCAGTATCCCAGGAAGGCCACTTACACGCATCCAGTAGCTCCAGGGACATATGGGAAGGGGGTTGGTCTTCTCCTCAGCAACTCCAAGTCCTTTGGTAGTCCCGGAACCGCTCCCCGGAGAACCGGATTGGTGGACCATTTACGCGAGAGGTGGTTATGGCCATGGAAGAATGCGGGGGTGGCTGACTCCCGTGCTCCACTTGTGTGCAACCATCTTCGCGTTGTCGTTCCACTGGCCCCTCAACCGAACTCCACCCCCCATTCCACATATGAGTCTTCTTTTCTTTTCGAAGACCAATCATTCAGCGGGTTTAGCTCAGTTGGGAGAGCGTCAGACTGAAGTAAAACTTCGGGAATTGAAATCTGAAGGTCATGTGTTCGATCCACATAAACCGCACTGAAAAGAGGATGTGAAAGCATCCTCAACTCTTTTTTCTCTTCTTGCTCAAGAAAGAACCACTGTGACAAAATTCCCAAGCATTAGAAAACAGGAATGGTGCGCTGGTTATCTGCGGTTCGAAGTATTATTATTAACTTGCAGGTGTCAGCCATGATATGTCTTGAAAAAAAGCGAACTAAAAAAAGGAGAGGTGGTGAACGTCAACTCCATAAATTCAGCCAGGGAAGGAGCTTGCAACCGAGCTACCTGGGCCGACTCTGCGGCGCCGCTTTTAACACGCCAAATTCTTTGATGCCTCTCAGTTGTCAAGTCTACAGGCTTGCCCATGATGGTTTTCTCAAATAGGTAAGCCCAACCTCCCCTAGGTCATTTTTATGGGCGAGGACTGTGTAATTAGGGCTGGTGGAGCGAGTAGACTGTGGAAGACGGCGAAATGACGGACCCTGTGCCACACTTCCAAAGGAATATGCTACTATCTATTCAATGTAACCATGTTTATCTCGGCTCGGGAGGTGCTGATTTATGGGGTGGTACATAGGTACGTTGACGCCACTCTAGTGTGGTAGCGGATAGGCACTAAAGTTCTGAAGAGGGAGGAGGTTAGGGGATGTTTAGGGCTAATTACGACTGGAAGATCGCAAAGTATGCCGTAAAAAATGGTCTGGTTGTTGTGGATTGTTTTTTTTTCCGAACTCCATGTGGTACAACTGCTCGGATGTGATGTTGGGCCCGGGGCTGAAGTGGCCAAAGGGGATTTGAGGTGCCTCCTTGCTTGTGCGGCGGGAGCATGTGTGCAAGTTCACATTGCCTCAGGCTGTGGTTGAGATCTTTAACGCCGCTATATGGCGGCGCTACAAAACTAGACATGCGCACTGTTTCGAGGTGGTTCGGGAGCATGTGTTCGGCCGAGATCTGGAGATGCAGTATGGCCACAACATCCGGTAGGCTGCTTACCCATTTTGCATCTTAAGGGGTGGCTTGGGTTCCACATAATGTGTTGAGCTGAGGGATGTGCGGGTGGCTTAATGCCAACAGTCGCGGATCGTCCCGCTTCCAAGGCAGCGTCGTGATATGAAACGGGCACGACCCCATGGTTGGGTCAACTTGAGAACGCCCGGGAGTTTTACGAGCCGTTGTGGCGTTTTCGTCTCCTTTTTAACAACAGTCATATTGGCGAGTCCCGCTCGGGTGATAGAAGAGAACCGATAAGAAAAGAAAAACGTAACCAGACAGAAAAGGCAAAAAAGAAGGTGAGTAATATTTGTGGTTCCTCAGCTAGTTACCTCGTTACAGCTTCAAGTTGCTGAGCCTCAGTTGGTTCAAGCTTCTATTCTTGGCGGCTGATCGACAGCGGCGCCCTGGCGCGTACCCGTTTCCGTTTGTTTGGGTTGTCGTGATGAAGCGAATGTAATAATGCAGCTTTGAAACAGAATCTGAAAACGGTTGCGTTTTGGTCGTCGAAGAGGACCCTTCAACATCTCTCGTCTCTCACGGATCGGCGGCTTGGCAGGAACTCCCGGATCATCCTGGCGGCATCCGCTTCATCTATACTCGAGCCATGGTGTGGACCCGCGATACGATCCCCATACCGATCCGAGACGGGCCCGAAGGCGGGTATCCGGGTGTAGAGATTCGGCTGACGTTTCTGGCCAACTCTGATGTTGGGGGATCAGCAAGTGGCGCAGTTCTCGGAGTGTTTGGTGCTGTGTTTCAAGGCTCGAAGTTCTGGAAGGAGCTGGATCTGGAACCTCTCAGGGCTCTTTGACCAATCGGTGTTAAGCCAGAAGTGTGGGGTGTGGGGCCCGCATACCAAGAAGATCCAGATCTGGCCATCCATCTCGATTGCATCTTCAGCAGCTCGATCTATCGGCCCCCAAATACAACATGCCCACTTGCCATCACAACGAACGTCCGATATTATTTTGCCTTGAGACCTAACATTGGGCTTCTTTTTTGTATCAGGAGCGATCTTTTCTGGATCGGTCATTTTGTCACACTTAACTCCCCCGGATCGATCATCTACTTGCCGCAGCCGCAGCTCGGTTAGAAGCTTGATTACCTCGGTCAAGGATGTTGTTAGTTATAGGATGCGAGAACCACCCCGGTTTCCCGGCGATCCGTGAGGCTCTCACACAGGGCTGACATGAGTGTCATTGGATGTTATCTGCCGATGACTGCACCCCTGTGGGGATGCGAAGCTTTGGGGCCTAGTCGGCCGCCGTAACCACGGCTTAGGGCTCAGAGGGGAGGGGAGGGGGTGGGTGTCTTGTGCGGGCCCAGACCGAGGACGCTGTCTGACGCCTTCTCTGATACCTATTTCCCGCGTGCCTGCATGGGTCGCCACCTTTGCGCATGCGGTGGTCATGCTTCAGGCTAGTCTCGTTTGGTTGGCCTGTCCAGTGCCGGTGCCTTGTGACGTTTGCCTTGAGTCCCTTACCTAAGGTCGTCGCGCTCGTCCTCGTTGTTTTTCATTTCCGACACGACATCCATCTTCCCTCACCGTCCTGTCTCATTTTCCGGGCTGCATCTGTAAGCCAACCTTTCTACATACTCATGACAAGCTGCCTACTGCTGGCCAGCAAAAGACCAACTCGATTCGCACCAACTTGATCGCGCACCAGCTTGCCGTCTCCCGAGTCTAGAGCGATGGAGCGTCCCACATTCCTTCCCCGAACCAATTCATCTTTGTCGCGTCTCCTCAGCAAGGACGAAAAGCCCCTCCTACCTCGCTCAGTGCGCCAGAGGTCAAAGGTCCGGGGACGGATATTGCTAGGCCATGGCTTATACCGGAAGCTCATCCTCTGGGCTGCCGCGGCCATCTCTCTTTTCTTCCTCGCACTAACCTCCAGCAAGAGAGGTCTTCGCAGGGAGAGATTGCTCGGTTTGGCGAAAGCCAACCCAGATGAGGATGCACGCGGCAATGGTATTAACGACGCCGCCAAAGGCAATCCTGGGGTTGTAGTGGTGGTAACCGGGCCGGACAAAACGCCGACCCCAGTTTGGCGTGAAGGAATGCCGCACTGGCTGAAGTTCAAGCAGTGAGAACCCCGGATGTTGCCCCTAAGGTGCGTAGCAAACTCTAACGTTGGCAGTCTCGACGGGTTCTTCCTCGGCCTAAAGGCCCTCGTTCCCGCCTCCGATTACAAACCAGAGCATCCTAGACAAAAGGACGAAAAGTCACCGTTCCCGCTCACGATCTCGTACACGGGCTTGCCCACTCCCACCCCATTTGTACCGCAGCCTGATTACGAGTCGTCGTCATACACCGCTAAATACCACGAGGTCCAACCCTGCTATCTCGACAAAGACAACAAGATTCCCGTCCCGGACCTCTACGCTTACAACGGGTTAATCCAGGGCCAGTCGGAGCCTGTCATTGGTTCCCATAGCCTCTTGGGGTTAAGGGACGATGTCTGTTTCGATAGGTTTGGAAGATATGGTCCTTACGGGTTAGGCTACCGGTTTGAGGAAGGAGGAGTGGAAGTTGGTATGGATACGGAGCGAGCAGGGAACGATGCCGTATGGGCAAAGACGGGCAAGATCAATTACGACAACGTTGACTGGGGCGACGCACAGTCCCGATGCTACGAATCCAACAAGAACCGCTTCGTCGAGGTTAACGCCCCAAGCCAAACATCCGTAGCCTCGCCAGCCGAAAAGACCGGCCGGTCCTTCTCACACAGCGAGCGCCCGAAGGACAAAATATCGCGAACCGCCGTTGTCGTGCGGGTATACACTGGATACCAGTGGACGCACCACGCAGTCCTCAACTTCCGCGCCATGATATCGGAGCTCGCTCTCAAGTCAGGCGGAGAGTACAACGTCCATTTCCTGCTCCACGTCCGTGACGACAACGAAGCCATCTGGGCAGACCCAGTAACGGCCCAACGAATTCTCGATGACTACGTGCCCGCCGAATTCCACAGCATTTGCACGCTCTGGTCTCAGGACCAGATGCGTCTGATTTATCCCGGGACAGTTTGGACGTAGCTTCTCCAACCCTAGCGGCGGCGATATCCACGGCGTCTACAGGAGTGCGCACATGCCACTCCAGTACTTCGCCATGAACCACCCCGAGTACGATCACTTCTGGAACTGGGAGCTGGATATGCGCTGGCTGGGCAATTACTACGAGCTTTTCGACCGCCTCGGGAAATGGGGCAAGCAGCAGTCCCGCGTCGGAGCCTGGGAGCGCTCCGCCAAGTACTACATCCCGCGGTACCACGGCGACTGGGCTAACTTCACTGACCTCGTGAACCGCGAGACCGTCGCCAGCGGCCGCTCCGCCGTCTTCGGGCCCGTAGCTTTCCCCGGACGCACCCCGCTCCGCAGCGAAGCAGCAGGGCAGGGGTTCATCCCGGAGCAGTGCGCCACACGCGCGGACCCGGCCTGCGGCGTGGGCGAAGAAGCCGACCTGATCACGCTCAACCCACTATTCGACGCCGAAGACTCCGGGTGGGTGTTCTCCAAGGACGTGACGGGCTACAGCACCACCCTACCAGTACCTCCACGGCGGTGCGCCATCATCACCGCGTCACGACTCAGCCGTCGCCTACTCGCCGTCATGCACGAAGAGAACTGGCGGCTGCACCACACCATGTTCAGCGAGATGTTCCCGGCTTCCGCGGCACTGCACCACGGGCTCAAGGCGGTCTACGCACCCCACCCCGTCCTGATCGACCGCGAATGGGACCTCGCCACCGTCGACCGCGCCTTCAACGGCGGCCGCGACCACTCCAGCGGCGGCCGTGGCAGCCCCTTCGACCTGCGCAACGAACACAACCACAAGGGCACCAGCTGGTACTACCACAGCGAATTTGCGGGCTTGTTGTGGAGGCGCTGGTTGGGCTATGCGCAGTATGATGGGCGGGGGCCGAACGGGGGTCGCTCCGGTGAGGGGACCCTGAGGGGGGGGAAGGCGGAGGAGGAGAGGTCGAGCAGTACCGGCCGTATGTGTTTGAGGAGCATGCTGGTGCATCCCATCAAGTGGGAGCACCCGAGTGAGCTGGAGGATTACTAACCAGAGTGTTGCCGGCTCACCTTGCCCCTTGCCCTCTTCTATTTCTCCAGATTGTCTTGTGTTCGTTATACTTTTCCTTTTTTTTTCTGCATAGCATGGTACGAATGATGGCTGTTGGTTAACTACATTTTTGGTTGTACGCTGGGGGTGGGAATTTGGGTCATGGTTGGAGAATGGCTTGGGCCCCCCCAGCTGGGTTCAATGCAGGGGCTGCTGAAGATGGCCAACAAGGCCGAAGGCGGCGTAGCCGGGGGCCTGTTTCAGGAGCATATCATTAGATCCGCAGAAACAAGCTAGCGGCATCTAAAAAAGCTAAATCTGCAATAGTTATTGTATTGTTTTCGTGGACTATTAAGCCGCTTTTGATGGAAAGAGTGAGAGAGGTGAACCCGCCGCGTCTCGAACCCCACGCTGCCTTGATGAAATTACCTGAACTGGCCTAGCGAGCTGTGAGAAGATGCCAAGAGCCTTCCCATGCTGCTTGCCAAGTCTCTAATCAACCCCACGTTAGAAACGTCCATGTTTCTTCCATCAGAAACGGAGGATTGTGATGTTTGGGGTTCTGGGAAATCTCAGCCGACCGGACGATGATTGGGCGGTCATGTGATGTTTTGCATGTACTAGAGGATATCCTGCATGGTAAACGCTCTCCATGTGCCTCCTATGTACTGCTGGAGAGGGCCCAGGCCGCTTCCTATGGAGGCTACCAAGACCTTCATCTCAAGAGCCACTCTTGGAAGCGATAGCTCGACATATTGCCTTGTGCTTTGTGAAGTGAGTGACCTGGCACGCCCGCCCGCAGTACGGAATGGCCCTTGCACCTTCCGCACAACATCAACTGGGCAGAGACCGCTTCACAATTTACGCATCGCGCCATTACCGGCAGCGAGCCCCTGACATCGCCGCTCCCGCTCTCCACCGCCGATAGCAAATCCTCGGCTCTCTTTCTCGCCAGCCTCAACACCCGCTGTTCGCCCAAATTGACGTGCGCCGCAGCCCATGCGTTCCCTCCCGAAGGATAGACACCCTCCGCGAGTTGCGCTTCCAGCTTTTCCAGCTGCGTTCCGAAACCGTCCAGGAGCTGACAGAACGATTCTACCAAGAACCGCAGGACTTCCACTTCGTTCGAATCGTTGATTTTCTCATCTGCAGCAGCGAGTTGCCGATGCGCTATGGCAGCGAAATCCGATTCATCCAATCGCTGAATCCGGAGGTACCGAAGGACATTCTTCGGTAGCGGATCGGTGAGAGTGAGGGAGATGGTACAGGCCGAATCGAGTCCCGCCGATGCCCAGAGCTTCTGCTTTCGCTCGAAAAATGGTGCACTTGGGTGCGTTGAAATAACGAGGTCATAGCTGTCGTTGGGATTACCGGGCATGACAAAGCCATACAGACGTAAAAGCCGACTATTCGGAATGGATCCATAATAGATAAAAGCCTAATGGAATAGCCCCGACGTAAGTAAATGAGCAACTACCATCAGAGAATAAGACGAACGTACCTGATCACCAGCTTCGTAGTCTTTTCCCGCAAGGACAGAGAGATTTCCAGACGACGCATCGTAGATGTGACATGGTTCAACCTCAGACGAGTGGTTCAACATATCCGCAAAGGGCGCCACAAGTCGAATCGAATTCCCATCGGGCAGTACGAAGTCCATCGCACGACTCCATACGGTGCACAGCGCCCACTTGTACTAAAACGAAGGGAAGAAGCGGCATTTAGCAGTCCAGTTGAAACGTCTATCACATGCGTATATAATACCTACGTCTTCGATACTGAACTTATCGAGTGGGAAAAGATCTCGAGATTGTGCAAGCACTCGCACGACTAATGTCCTGTAATCGTCCTCGATGGATCGATCCAGCTTCTTCGTGATGGTGTACAGTGAAGTACCAGCGCAAACTTCCAACTCTTCCTCCGCAAAGAAGATGCTTGAGGGATAGCTCGTAGGAAAGGCCGCCACATGGCTTCGCAGGCCATCGTAACCCGACTCGCGAGAACGGATAAAGAGAATGTAGGTAGCTAAGGTGTCCTCGACGGACAAGGGCGGCCGCGCTGAGCGCAGAACTGGCCCAACAAGGGGATCAGCGTATGCGTGTTCGACCGTCCAGAGAATGCCAGATGGAATGGTGAGAATCCTCTCTCCTTTCTTGAAACGCCGCAGTGTTTTGACACCGCGCCCGGTGACCGGGAAATCGGCAAGCTCCAGGTCGTCCAAGCCCACCGCGCCACATGATTTCAGCCAGCTTTCCATGGATTTAGGTCGAGGGAGACTAGACGTGAAGAGGCATAGAAAAAAGAACTTGTCGATTCGTAGCCATGCCACTGAGCAGCAAAAATATGCATTTCCCCGCTCGCAGCCGGAATAACCAGTGCAAATGCTTGGTGGCGCTTGGCGCGCGTGTGCGGTGGGCTGCACATCATTTCTAGTTATTTTTGAAGAGTTGGAAAAGGGGAATCAACAAAAGAGCAGACTATGGGAGCCTATCTCAGCTGCCCTCCTCCTCCTCGAGCCTCCCAAAATGGCGATGGACTCTCATGCCGTTCCCGTCCCTTCCGCTCCTCGACCCCCACGCTATTTCGTTTTGAATATCGCCTGACTTGGTCTAGCGGGCTGCGAGGAGGTACCAAGCTTCGGGAACCACGGGAAGCGCTTCGAAAGGAGGTCATGTGAAGTGGAATGGAAGAGGGGAGAAAATATCACGGAGGGAGTAAGATTGTTGTGTCACGGGCGGATCTTGCTCGTCTTTCGGTTCCGGTTTCCCAATCTCCAACCTCCCGGAAGCGGGATGACACCGCGGGGTATCAGAGCTCTGGCGTGGGTGCGCGGGGGTCCATTGGCTGCTTGGAATGATGCTTGGTGTGCTGCCCTGCCCCTGTCAGCTGCCGAAAACGAGCTCCGATACCGCGCTAAAGAGTTCGGTGTCGAAAGAAAGTAGGAAGACTTCCATGTCCGTGGCCCCGGCATTGTATTTCGAAGCCACGTAAACTCATCCTACCTAGGATCTGGAGATTTGCGAGTGGAAAGGAACAGGAAGAGGGATGCTGAAACATACTGTGTAGACAACGCCTCCGTCATAGTGGGCCCTGAGCCGTTCTGTTAGTGCCATGTTGCATCCGCAGCGTCATGATCCCCGCAGCCAGCCGGCTGTGACATTGGAGGCAATCCACTTACAGAGGAGCCCTGGGGTCCCAGAGTGACGACACCAGGAACACCGAGCTCGAGATTTTGGGTTGGTACAAGTACTGAACTGCCATTTTGCAAATTCCTACCGGAGACAGCTGGAAAGGATGTGAATGACAATACACACAGCCTGGCAAGCCTGGGCCCATAGCTCCATCTTGTGTGATCACCATCAGCTTGTCCAAGTGTCATCTCTGTGAGCCAAGAGATTGGGAGATCTACATACAAAGTTGCCTGTCGCCAAAGTATCGTGGGCTTGCCACCCGGACTCCACCAACAGCTGCCCAGTCCGAACAGACCATCTACTTTACAGGCACTCAACTTTCAACGTTACTCGTTCAACTCTCAATCTTGTCCCAACATTCTATGACAACTGTCAGCTCGAGATAACGTTTGACACGCCCGAAAACGGCCAACCTCAAGAATCAACTAGTCAAAGCTGCGTGACGCTGTCCGATCATCGGCAAAGTGCAAGGACCGCAAAGCCAACAACAACGCCGTCCGCTCTTGTCCCGAGAAACGCATTGCACACCCGAGACACCCACCAACAGAAACAAAAAAGTTCAGCCCTGTTTTTCGCCCCAATCCGCCCCCTAGCCGAGCCCCATTGCTGCTTCCAGATTGGCGGTAGTTTTTAGGCCCCCGTGATCGAATCCCAATTTCGGTCGCTCCCCTGGTCTTTTTTTCGCTGCGGTAAGTGGCACACCTTGCGGACCCTGTCCTCCCCAAAAGCTCCCCAACCCGGCCGATGCTACACCGATTGTGAGACAAGTTCTCCCAGCAACGCCGCAGGCCCCTTCAGCAGTCTCGTCCCTTTCTTCTCTCTTGCAACCAACAAGCGACAAGAGCGTACAAATTCTCTTTCGACCTATTGAGAACCTAGCTAATTATCCAACTCGCGAAAGCAGGCACGAGCACAGACTGAGTGTCGCTTTGAGCCTACATTCCGAGTCGCGCCCGTTCACCGACCACATCGAACACATTGATCGTTCCACCGAGCTCGTTCACGATGCCCATTAATCCGGAAACCCAAATGGCGGGTCCGGCACCTCCTCCCCCCAGTCTACACACGAGGAAATTGTCTGATGACGTACCGAATGTTTACGACGATGCGAAAACCTACTATACCGCCGAAGACCGCCATAGGAACAACCGTGCTGGTCCTCGGACGCGCACTTACTCACAGGTAGGCATCACCAAGCCCTGTGTTCTGGGTGGGCATTGGGCGATTGCTGACGGAATATCTGCAATAGAATGGCTTGCTGAAGCAGATGGAGCGGTTCTTTACGCCTGACCCGTACAGACGAGGGAGTCACGGTAAGAGCATCACCGAAATGTTCACATCCCATCCACTAACGACTGCCTGCGTAGATGAATCTACCATGCCCCATACCCGCAAATTCTTGATCCAGGTCGAGCCGACACTCCAGAGTCTACAAGCGCAGGAGGACACAGATCAGAACATGCAAATCACCATTGAAGACAACGGACCCAAGGTGAGAAAGCCAAGCAAAGATGCTGCGTGATGGGGGAAGATTGACAAACAACCTCAGGTTCTCAGCCTCCGCACAGCTGCCTCCAATGGATACAACCGCTTCGACATCCGAGGCACCTATATGCTCTCCAACTTGTTGCAGGAGCTCTCCCTCGCTAAAGAATATGGCCGAAAGCAGATCATCCTCGACGAGGCGCGGCTCAATGAGAACCCCGTCAACCGGTTGTCACGCTTGATCCGTGATCACTTTTGGGAGGGATTGACACGGCGCATCGACGCTTCGAGCATCGAGGTTGCAGCGCGGGATCCCAAGGACTGGACCGACGATCCTCGACCACGCATCTACATCCCGAGGGGCGCTCCGGAACAATACGAATACTACACCAAATTAGCGCAGGAGAAGCCCGATATCCGGTTGGATGTGCAGCTTCTCCCGGAGAAGATCACACCCGAGATTGTCCGGGATATGAACTCCAAGCCCGGTCTGCTGGCAGTGGACATGGAGGAGGAGACAGACCCAGAGACGGGGGAGAAGACGCTGAAGGGTCGGCCGTTTGTCGTCCCCGGAGGGCGGTTCAATGAATTGTACGGCTGGGATAGCTACATGGAATCTCTGGGGTTGCTAGTCAACGACAGGGTTGACCTCGCCAAGTCCATGGTGCTCAACTTCTGCTTCTGCATCAAGCACTACGGCAAAATCCTCAACGCCACGCGGTCGTACTACCTCTGCCGATCACAGCCCCCCTTCTTGACGGACATGGCCCTTCGGGTCTACGACAAGATCAAGCACGAGCCTGGCGCGGCCGACTTCTTGCGGACCGCTATCCTGGCGGCGATCAAAGAGTACCACAGCGTTTGGGTGGCGGAACCTCGGTTGGACCCGGTCACCGGCCTCTCTCGGTACAGGCCCGAAGGTCTCGGCGTCCCGCCTGAGACGGAGGCTGACCACTTTTTCCACCTTCTGGAGCCGTACGTCGCGAAGCACGGTGTCACGTTCAACGAGTTCGTCGAGGCGTACAACACAGGCAAAATCAAGGAGCCCAAGTTAGACGACTACTTCATGCACGACCGCGCCGTGCGTGAGTCGGGTCATGACACCTCGTACCGCCTCGAGGGCGTGTGTGCCGATCTGGCCACTATCGATCTCAACTCCCTGCTTTTCAAGTACGAGTCGGACATCGGGCGCACCATCCGCAACGTGTTTGGCGACAAGTTGGTTATCCCAGCGGAGTACTGCGTCGGTGACATGCAGCCCGGCCACGTCGAGACGTCGGCCATGTGGGACCGCCGCGCGAAGCGCCGCAAGCTGGCCATTGACAAGTACCTCTGGAGCGAGGAAGCAGGCATGTACTTCGACTACGACACAGCCAAGCGCCAGCGGTGCGACTACGAGAGCGCCACCACCTTCTGGGCCCTCTGGGCGGGCGTCAGCAGCCCCAAGCAGGCTGCCGCCATGGTGACCAAGGCGTTGCCGCGGTTCGAGGCCTATGGAGGCTTGCTGTCTGGCACTAAGGAAAGCCGCGGAGAGATTGGGCTCGATAGACCAAACCGACAGTGGGATTATCCCTACGGCTGGGCACCGCAACAAATGCTCGCCTGGACCGGGTTGTACCGCTACAGCTTCACCGACGAGGCGGAGCGACTCGCGTACAAGTGGCTCTTCATGATCACCAAGGCCTTTGTCGACTTCAACGGCGTTGTGGTTGAGAAGTACGATGTCACACGGCCCATCGATCCCCACCGCGTCGATGCCGAGTATGGAAACCAGGGGCTGGACTTCAAGGGCGTGGCGAAGGAGGGGTGAGTACCACCTAATAGCAAGCAAGTGGAGAGCTGTTGAGAAGGTGCTAACCAAGTGGCAGTTTCGGTTGGGTCAACGCCAGCTACATCTACGGCCTGCAGATCGTCAACGGTCATATGCGCCGGGCCCTGGGCACCCTGACCCCTTACGAGACGTTTGTCAAAGCGATCGAAGAGAACCGGGCCAAAGCTCTGGCTGAATTGGTTTGAGCGCCCAAGTTTGCTGAAATTGGGAATAGGACTGGATTCCTTTGCAACCCCCGCGGCATCAATAGGCGTTTTGGGAGATTCATCTGCTCTCTATTTTCCCTCTTCCTCTTTTCCTCTCTTGGTGTGGAGGGCCGGAAACAGCGCCTTTGTCTAAACAGCCTAGATTGTTGCATATTACTTGGGATGACTGCATGAGGGGAGAGGGGTGGTTACTAAGAGCCTAGTCAGGAGAGAGGGTCTGACAGGACAGTGCCATGCCTGGAAGTCGGGGGAACACCACAGCAAGGTCAAGGAGGACTGGATGGGTAACTCCCTAGGCAGTTCACCGGCATCCTTTATTTGGGATTTGGTAATGTTATGTAGGCATTCAATGTAGGGTTATTCCAGCATACACACAACCTAACCTACCACAGTGATAATGAGGTAACCCAAAGTTGAATTAAGGTTAATGAATGTTGTGGTGCAAGTCCCATGTCACTTTGAGCCTCGAGGTTCTGTTCATGTTCCGGTCTCCTTCCGGAACCCACTGTAACCTGGGTTTGTTCCGGGCACCGGCAACCGTTGCAGCGGCAACCAACGGATAAGCTGGATAACGACCGCCAAGCAGCAATCTTGATTCCCCAGCGCCACAGCATGCACGCTGCAAGCTTGCCCCGCAGCGAACGTGCCCCTCCAGAAAATTTTCCCCGCCATATATGGAGGGATGCCGGTGCCCGGTCTCCAGCAACCGAAAAACCACTCTTAACTTTTAGAAAAATGGAAGCATATTCGGGTTGTCTTTGCCACCGCCTGTTGCCTTTGGCCCTTCTCCCACGGCGGTGAACTACCATTGTCTCCTGAGGGCTTGTTGTTCTAGGCCTCTCTTCGTCCGATCCCCCATCTCTTGCCACACTCACTAGCGAAGGAACCGTGCGTGCTTTCGTCGCGTGGTCAACAAACAAGCCTGTGACCGACTTCGGCACTCTCCTCCCACACCTGTGTGAATTCCCTCTCTCACCTCGGGAATCATCCAACAAACAGAGAGAGTTGCTCTTTCGATCCAATTCGTTCTCTGTGTGTTGTCTTGTTGTTATTGTTGACTTGATACCCCCTTCCACAAAGGAACCGGCAAAATGTGCGGCATTCTCGGTCTTATCTTGGCCGACTCGTCGAGCGCCGATGCTGCTGTTGACCTGCACGAGAGTCTCTACTACCTCCAACATCGTGGCCAGGATGCTTGTGGTGTCGCGACCTGCGCAACTGGTGGGCGCATCTTCCAGTGCAAGGGCAATGGCATGGCGTCCAAGGTGTTTGAGGATGGCAAGCGTGTCTCGGACTTGCCCGGGTACATGGGCATTGCCCACTTGCGGTATCCGACTGCGGGGACGAGTTCGGTAGGTCTTACTGTCTTCTTTCTTTGTATTTTGGTTGTTGTTGTGTGCTCAAGCTGACTCCTTTCCCCCAGAGTGCCGAGAGCCAGCCGTTCTACGTCAATTCCCCTTATGGCATCTGCTTTGCGCACAACGGCAACCTTATCAATGCGAACGAGCTGCGAGACTACCTTGACAAGGAGGCCCACCGCCATGTGAACACCGACTCGGACAGCGAGCTGATGCTCAATGTCTTCGCCAACGCCCTCAACGAAACGGGTAAGGCCCGCGTCAACGTCGATGACATCTTCAGCTCCCTGGCCCAGACATATCAGCGTTGCAAGGGCGCATGGGCTGCCACAGCCATGATTGCAGGTTTTGGTATTCTCGCTTTCCGCGACGCCTTTGGCATCCGCCCCTTGATCATGGGCAGCCGGCCGTCGGCCACGATCGAAGGCGGTACGGACTACATGCTTGCGTCGGAGAGTATTGCCCTCCGCCAACTGGGGTTCCGCAACTTCCAGGACATCCTCCCCGGTCAGGCAGTGTTCATCCAGAAGGGTGGCACACCGCAATTCCACCAGGTCGCCGAGGCGCAGGCGTACTAGCCGTGACATCTTTGAGTACGTCTACTTCGCTCGGCCCGACACCATCATGGACGGCATCTCGATCAACACCAGCCGGCAGAACATGGGCGCCAAGCTGGCCGACAAGCTGCGTGAAGTGCTCGGCGAGGAGGGCATAAAGGAGATCGACGTCATTATCCCGGTCCCCGAGACGAGCAACACGGCGGCGGCCGTCGTGTCGGAGCGCCTCAGCAAGCCCTTCTCGAACGGCTTCATCAAGAACCGCTACGTCTACCGCACCTTCATCCTGCCCGGCCAGAAGGCGCGTCAAAAGAGCGTGCGCCGCACGCTGAGCGCCATGGAGTCTGAGTTCAACGGCCGCGTCGTGTGCCTCGTCGACGACTACATCGTCCGCGGAATCCACCAGCAGGGAGATTGTCAGCATGGCGCGCGAGGCGGGCGCGCGCAAGGTCATCTTTGCCAGCTGTGCGCCGCCCATCAAGCACCCCATATCGTGAGTCCCCCCTCCAGCTCACCCCAACCACCCCCTCTGAA